AAATTAAATTGTCTGGGCCGATTTTTGTTTCCTCCTCGCTGGCGGTTCCGTGCCTGCTGGGGACGGACTTCCTGGCCAAAATGCCGATTAGGATATTAATCGATCAGGGATGCATTGAGCTCCCGTCGGGCCGACGCATGGCGTTTCTGCCATCACCCGTTACGAGTCGGACGGCGTTCGCGACGGTGCCGGCGTTCGTAGATAGAACGGTGCGCGTCCCTCCGGGGGCACAAATGTTGATTCCTTTGAAACTTCGGCGGCCCTTCGCTAAGGGCATTGGGGCCCAAGGGGTTCTGCTGGGGCCGTCTAGGGCCGGGGTTAGTGGACCTCATTTACTTCCGGCCCAGACCATAGTAAGTGGGGACGGAGACCCCTTCATCGCGGTCCTCAATGTGGGCTCGCAGACGGTGGTGGTCCCACAGGGGACCGTGCTTGCTCACGCAACGCCGGTGCCCTGTGAGGAACCCGTCGCGAATCACGTCAGCGTTGTCCCTGCGCTGCGGCCACATTCGGACAGCGATGAAGGGTGGCTCGAGGCGCTTTGTGCGGGATCGACGGACCTGTCGAATTCAGAGCATCAACAACTTAAAACACTACTGCGGGAATTTTCCGACGTTTTCAGTCGAGATAAATACGATTTGGGTTGCACTCATCTGCTGCGTCACCATATTGATACGGGTGACAGCGCGCCAATACGCCAGAATCCCTTTCGGTTGAGTCCCGCCGAAAAGGACCATGTCAAATCGGCTATTGATGACATGTTGGCCGCCGACATCATTTCTCCTTCCACCAGCCCTTGGGGAGCGCCGATCGTCCTGGTTAAAAAGCAGGACGGCTCGTTGCGGTTTTGCGTTGATTTTCGGCGCCTTAACAAAATTTCGGTTGCCGACGCATACCCGCTCCCACGGATGGATGAATCGCTGGACGCCTTGGCGGGAGCGCGATTCTTCTCCACACTGGATTTACTTTCGGGATTCTGGCAGCTTCCTCTGGACGATGATTCAAAGCCTAAAACTGCTTTCCGTACACCGCACGGCCTGTTCCAATTCAACCGGTTGCCGATGGGCTTACACTCAGCGCCGGCAACTTTCCAGCGTTTGATGGAATTGGTTTTGGCTGGATTGCAATGGGAGTCGTGCCTCATTTATTTGGATGACGTTATCGTCTTTGGTAAAACTTTTGACGAACATCTCCAGAGGTTGCGGGCGGTTTTCCTAAAGATGCGGGCTGCTAATTTGAAATTCAAGCCCCAAAAATGCCATTTGTTACGCGATTCAGTGCGTTATTTGGGGCACATCGTGGGGCGCTCAGGTATTGCTACCGATCCCGCCAAAACGCAGTGTGTCAGCTCCTGGCCGACTCCCACCTCGGTGGGAGAGGTCAGGAGTTTCATTGGCTTCGCGTCGTATTACCGACGGTTTGTCGCTGATTTTGCGACGATTGCCAAACCCCTGCACGCTTTAACATCAAAAGGGGTTCGGTTCCACTGGGGTCAAGAGGAGGAGGCTGCTTTCTGCTCCCTATGGGACGCCCTGGTAAAAGCTCCTCCCTTGGTTTACCCCGATTTTTCTAAGCCCTTTTTGCTCGACACCGATGCGAGCAACACGGGTATTGGGGGTGTGCTTTCCCAGGTGGTTGACGGCGTGGAACGGGTGGTCGCGTACGGTAGTCGGGTGTTGTCTCCTGCGGAGCAAAGATATTGTATCACCCGTCGGGAACTGTTGGCAATTGTCTATTTCATCCAACAGTATCGCCCATATCTGTACGGTCGGCATTTCACCGTCCGCACAGATCATGCGGCACTACAGTATGCCCTGCGAGTTCAACAACCATCGGGACAATTGTCTCGATGGTTGGAGATTCTCCAGGACTTTGATTTTGAAACCACCTACCGTAAGGGCGTTCGCCACACCAATGCGGACGCTCTGTCGCGCATGCCAACCACCTCCGAATGTGCATGCCTCCTGGGGTCTGGACGTTGCAGGCCTTCAGGAGACGTATCGGTTCCGGTCTTGGCAGCCACCGACGACGACGAAACATTGATTACTAATTCGATCGAACAACAGGGAAGAGATTCCCTGTTGGGGTTGCCCGTCACTGAATGGGGGCGCCTCCAGATGGAGGATACCTCCCTCCTCGGGTGGCGTCGTCGCGTCGGCGGTGCTGGGCGGGTGAAGGGTGATTCTGATGCATGGGAAATGGTGCAAGGTCTGCTGATGCATTGGGACGGGAAATCCCATCGACATCGGCTGGTGGTCCCTTCTGGGTTGCGAGGCAAGGTGGTGTGGGCCGCTCATGAGCGCCTTCTACACCTGGGGACCCAAAAGACTCTCGCCTTGCTACAACTTGATTTTTTTTGGCCTGGCATGACGAGGGATGTTGGGGATTTATTGGGATCATGCCCTCGGTGTGCGCAACGAAAACCGCCGGCACGGGAGTCTAACCCACCCTTGCAATTGATCAAAGTGTCCAGAATAAACGAGCTTGTCGCGCTGGATATTTTGGGTCCATTCCCCGCCACCCCCAGGGGCAATAGATATTTGTTGACTGGTGTGGAGTATTTTACACGCTGGCCTATGGCCTGGCCCCTTGCCAACCAGTCGGCAGCAGCCATCGTGGAGGCCTTTGTTCAGGGATACGTCCTGGACAAAGGTGCTCCGGAGCGGCTGCTAACCGACCAGGGCAGAAATTTTTCCGGTAAACTACTCAAACAAGTCTGTGAGCTCCTGGGCACGAAGAAAATTCGTACCTCCCCGTATCACCCGCAAACTGACGGGATGGTCGAGCGTCTGCATCGCACCATCACGTCAATGTTGTCACAGCAGGTTTCGGACTCACAGACCGATTGGGACCTGCAAATTCAAGGGGTCTTGGCGGCATACCGGATGGCACCCCATGCAGCTACGGGATTTTCCCCCTTTTACCTCATGTACGGTCGCGAACCCGACCCGCCTGTTTGTGCCCAACTGCAGATCCCCGAGCCGCAGGGAAAAACTAAATTGGCTGACCATGTAAAATTTAATCTGGCCAAATTAACAGAGGCGCGGGATGCTGCAATGCTAAACTCGGACCTCCGTCAGAAAGCGAATGAGCGCCTCAGACTGGGTCGGGCGCACATGATGCAGTGGAAGCCGGGGGACAAGGCATGGCTGCACTGTCCCCAGGTGCCACTGGCAACCTCCTCTAAGCTGGTGCGGCCGTGGCGGGGCCCTGTGGAGGTGGTCGAGGTTTTGCGACCGCAGTGCGTGCGTATCAAATGGGGGAAGCGGCGGTGGTTCGTGCACCCCTCTAGATTAAAACCCTTCGTTGCGGTACACAACCCCACTTCACACACGCGTGGCCAAACATGTGGGAGGTCGACCGACTCACTGGGTCCGTCTCCGTCGCCCTCACCTAATGCCTTGCCGGCCATGCCACCTCCAGGTGCATCAGGACTGACGGGCTCACGCCCGACCACCCCTCCTGGGGATGCCAAAGGTCGCGCGGCGTCGGATGAGGACTCACTCCGAGACGGACAGTTGCCACCTGACGGTCCGCCACCCGGGGTTACCCCGTGTGAGGGGCCCGCTGCAAGGACGCGCGCTAAAATGCGCAGACTGTTGTGAGGCCGGAAGATGTGTACATAGATTGTGTTCATTGTGTGTTGTGTGGGTGGTGTGTTCCCTGCCCATTGAATGTACATACGTTGGGTTCACCATGTGTTGTGTGTGTGGTGGGTTCCCTGCAAATTGTATATAGGCTGTTTTTTTACGGAATTCGTATTTATTCAGGGGGGGTGCGTCGGGTTGTTTTCTCTTCTTGCTGTTGCGTTTTGTTGTGTTCTTGTTGCTGTTCTTGTTATTGTTGAAAAATAGTGAGGCACACGCGCGGTCAGGGGGTAAATGCACTTTTATTGTCATTTTTTTTGTATGTTGGCAGCCAGGACGGCTGCAAGCTATGCGGGGGGGGTGATGTAGGGGTGTTAGAGAGAGAGCCCGTTAAGCATGGCAGCCTATGGCAAACAAACACAGTGGGCGGGGCTACGTAAGTGCACGGGGAGGTGCCCTCTACGACGTCCGAGCCAGGCACCCTGGGGGGGGGCTGGTTCGAACGTTATGATCCCCCGGGGCCCCACCCCTTAGCGAGGGGTTGGGTATAAAAGGGGATGTATCAAAGGGCTCGGCAGTTATGTTAAAAGCTAACCAGAGAAGACTGAAGACGTCTTAGATAGAGCCCTGGACTCCCCTGGTTCGCTGTCCTTATCAGGGCCGAACAGGACAGAGCCAGCGGCGTGGTCCCGAAAGCCAGAGCCGGTGCTCTTGTAAGAGCTGGTCTGGGACTCCGGGTACCGGGCCCGACTTACCAGTGTCGGGCCAGATAGCCTCCCCTAGCCCATTAGTGGAGGACTAAGAGGCAGGCTAGGAGTAGCTAGGACGTGTATCCTCAGCTAGTCGGGTGAGGGGGCCGATACCCCCTCCAGTGCTGTATGCCACGAACGTGCTGTGTCAAATAAACCCGTGTGCCTCCAACTCCGGTGTCCAAGAGTCGTGAACGCTACTACATATACAATAAATATGCCCACTGTATTGCATATTGAAATTCTACGTTTAGGCATGCTATAACTCCACAGCCTATGTGTTTGAATCATCCGGAAGCTCAGCAGAGGTGAGCCTGGACAATGCTTGAATGGGTGATAGCCGCTCGTAAAACAGGTGTTGCAGTCTGCTGCAGGGCTACGTTTGTCAGAAGAGGGCCAATGCAGAGACGTCTGTTGCCCTCTACTCCGGCGTCTACGCCTCCCCCGCATTCACCAAACTGTACTGGCCGACTGTGAAACATACCGGTTAAATAACACCCCCCCCCCCTCCCCAACGACCCACATGTAGTGAACGTCATCGTTGCTTGACAAAAAAACTGTACCGTACAAGTGCACATACACAAATCCACTTTGTAAATTATGTCCGCTTATGTCAAGCGGGGGACCAATTGGGCTCTTTGTTACCTCCACCTCCACTGATCAGGATGTTCGGCTGGAACTCTCTGAGCCTCTGGCGGAGTCCCCGCCTGCGCTCGCTGCTGCCATTGCCGCCACTGCCACCGTGCGCCACGCGACTCGAGAGGCCGCGATGGAGCCACGGCGCCAGCGACGTGAGAGCCGTCATTTTCGACATGGGAGGAGTGATCCTGCCGTCGCCGTACCCGCCCATACAAGGTGCACGCCTGCGCCGCGTCGCATCGTTACGGAAGGCGCGGTGAGGAACCTCATCCTGACCGAGGGGCCCGGCAGGACAAGGGTCGCTGGTATTTTTGGGGCACTTAACCCTTTCGCGTTCCGAGATGACTGCAAGTTGCAGGGTGGGTCGACCCACTCACCGCCGAATTTCGGAACGCGCAAGCGGTTCAGCGTGAGTTTTATTTAGAGAGGCATAGCGCCGTTGTTTTTAAAGACATTGTACTCACCGCAGAGAACTGTAGCGACATGGCTGGCGCCAAACCGTACCACATGTCCTCCCGAATGGCCTTGTGGGAGCCTCGGTACCGATAAAGTTCCGAACGGAACCGGGATAAAAACTGGTGATGTCCACGTACTTACACATACGTCATTGGAACAAGAAAGGGTTAAACGCCTCCGAAACTCGAAGCATCTTGCATCACGTCCCACCTCGACAATTCCGATGCCCAGCTTAAGACTAGCCAAAGGAAGCTGTCCATGTGCATTGCAAGGTGGGCTTGCTGTGATACCGTTTTATATGATATGATATTGAATGTCACGATGTGATGATCATCACAATGTCGGTTTCCCATAACTTAGTAATTGTATTTCACATTTTTGTCGTGTTGTTTTTGTTTCTTTGATGTATTTCCAGTGTGAATAAGAATTGCTTAAAAGTTCTTCAACTGAAGTTTGCTCGGCACGAGTCTACCATAAGTCATTGTTGCATCTTCACAAACTATAACACTTATAATACACATGCTGTCAGAAAGTTTTGACATCGTATAACCACCAAACGTCGTGGGGATGGTCGCCTACTGGTTAGCGCACCGCGCTCTGAACCCGGAAACTTGAGTTTAATTCACAATCATGGCCAACATCAGTAACGAATATCTGAACTGGGCCTGGGTCTCTATCTCGGCCTCGCTGTGTGCTGCATTGCACTGCTATCCGAGTAGATAACCTTCCATCCAATAAACCTTCAGAGCCAGGGTTAACATCCGACTCCAAACGTATTTAATGAATATAACGAGGTAAAACTGATGGAAAAACACAGCACAGATACAGCATCTGTTAATACTTGGAAATATCAATACAATTAATGAACACTACAACATCATAACATTGTTTTAGATAACCTGAAACTCAACAATAGATCCTGGATGGACCAGGCACCTACATTAGTATTGAACAGCTATACAAGGGAATAAGCTGTTGTGTTAAATAAAGGCACATCATGTAATCATCACACTGCATCCCAAATGTACAGCACTACATATGTAGTGCTCGAACCGACACGACAGCTTCTTGTCTTTCCTCGTTACTTTATTCCACGTATATAGTTCCACATCTCTCCCGCCAACACCGCTCAATGTTCCTCCGTTCACACCGACCCACAACTCTCCGTAAACACCGCTCAATGTTCCTCCACTCGCTCGCTGTGCTCCGCTGGCCTCGCTTGCTCCCCTCTGCTCCTCCGTCGACTCTTCTCCGCTCTCTCTTTCTCTCCAGCTCGGCTCCTCTTTATCAGCTCCGCCGTCCCATTCTGTCGTAACTAACCCCGTTCTCCTTCCACACTCCAGCCGCTTCCTACACTCCGTCGTGTCTCTCTGATGCTTGCGCTACTCCGCTGCTACCCTACACTATACTCACTCTCTCCACTGCTACCCTACGCTGTACTCACTCTTCTGCTCCGTCACTCCATCTGTCTGTCTCTCCTCCCAGGCACAAACTCCCCGTCTCACTCCACAACCCCTCAATTTATCCCCGAACCAATTACCCCTAATTAATTAGTTCATCCCCCGCGACGCCACTCGCCCCCAGCCCCCGGTGTCACGTGGCGTTGTTTTTCCAGACACACCGGCGCCAATTTCTGACAACAAACCCAAAAACGTTGATTATGAACAGCCCCCCTCGTCCAATCAATGCCCTGCATCCTTAATTACCCCGGCCACCTTCGGCCCCCTTAACCATCACGTCACCTTAATTTGAACAACAACAACGGCCAGCCAATCAGCGCCCTGTGTCCTCATTCGCCCTCACTGTCCATCGCGTGCGCGCATACCGTCCCAGCGCGTGACGCATATCTCAAGCACTACACATATAACACTGAACTGTTAGTGAGACATTTCGTCATCCTTGCTCTCAAGATTGTAATATAGTTACTTGGGTACAAGTTTGACTCGACTTATTCAATTACAAGTAACATTAATTCTAGATTTGAAGCTTTCGTGACTACAAGGATTCATATTCTTAGGTTTTTTCGGTAAAGTCACGTAGGTAAAACATCAAAATTAATGAAAATAAAATAAAATGATTTTTGTTTTATTTTATTTTACCTACGTGACTTTACCGAAAAAACCTAAGAATATACAAGTAACATTCACAATAAGGCAAGTTGCAGGCTTCGTTGTTAACTAGGCCTTTTATTTATAATAACAATTTAACAGCATTATAAAGCCATTTACAGCATTATACCGGTCATTCTAACATTATAACAGCATTCCCAGTATTATAAGAACATGAACGAACTTACAGACAATGCTTCTTAAAGTCCCACAATGTACAGTTACAGCTGTCTTCACTGGGACACGATGTGTGCCACCATTTTGAACTCTGTTTAAGGGCGGACGCCAGGTTCGTGGCTGAAAGACTGTCAAATCGTAACTTCCTGGTCACGTGACCAAACTCAACCTCAAAACAGGAAATTCCTGTGTACACACACCCACACTCCTGCCGTGGAGCAAAACACCTGCCGTGAACAGTCTCCCCTTGGTTGACACAAACTCATGACTAGGGCAGTGGGAAACATACTGCCGCAATTGGGGAGACAAAGGCAGCCAAACTGTGGTGCTCGCCACACTCCCCCCCCCCCCTTGTGTGCCGTGACAACCTTTAATAGGTGCCCACTAGCAGTGTTTGCTCCATCAATCCTTAATGCTACACAGGGGTCGTGTATGTTGTGTGTGTGTCTGCGCTGGTTTAAAACATTCCGGCTGGTCTGCCTACGATCCATCCTGGTTTTAACCATGCTTGATTTGTGTGAGGAGCTCGCAGATCTTTGAAATAGGGGATAGTCCCATCAATGAGCTTCTCCGGCAGATGAGGGTACATTGGCTGAGTCATGTAGTCTGCATGCCCAGCCACCGCATGTCCAAGCAGCTTCTGTTTAGCCCGATAGAGGGGGCTAAATGGGCACGGCATGGGCTCGAGAAGAGAGGCGACTAATGTGGTACATGAGAATGTTGGGCTGAGTGGACTTGCAGATAACTGGTACCAGCGTTGTCAAGATCGGCCTCTGTTGAGGAGGCTCGTGAAGGACGCTACTGGGCAGTTGGAGGTAGTTGCCCTCTCGCAACACACGAGGGCAGAGGAGTCACGCTCGGAACAATGAGCTGAGCACCGGGCGGCTAAAATGCAGCAAGTTGGCGCAATAGGGAGGTGTTGCATCTATCAGTTATCTTGGTCCATCAACACATGGCACCTGGCTCTGTCCCGTGACCTCCTGTCAGCAGCGAGCCTTCGACACTTCACGTGACAGCAAAAAAGTGAACCTAGCATGGCATAAGCTCCAGGTGGTGACGTCACCACCACTTAGTGGTCAACAGCGGCCGTTGTCACTATCACTGCTGTCGTGGTGCATGCGTGTGCATATATGCGTGTTGAACTTCTTTCGCAGCATACGTAGCCAGCCGTGCTAACCGGAGGTGCGTGTGGTGCGTAGAGTGGGAGGCTGCCTGTGGGCTGCCGGGTGGCACGGTGCTGCGCGTGCTGCGTGACGGCGGGGAGGCGAACGCGTGGTGCCGCTACCAGCGTGGGGAGATGTCGCCTGAGAGATTTGACGAGCTCTTCGGCGCCGACTGCTCCAAAATCGTACGTAGCGCCGAGCGCGATCGCCGTCCACAGACGCCGGTCGTACAGTCAACCTGCGATTCAAAGTCACGTGATTTGCTGCTCGAAATGAGCACCAAGGTGTTGTGCTCAGTTCTTCTCTGCAGCTCTTGAGCGAGCGGTGGAAACTCCCCATCCCTATGACGGGAGGCGAGTCTTCCCCTAAAGGACAACCGCCGTTAACTTGCCCACGCTGTGGTGCTCGTTTCAATCAACCCCAGCAGCATGGACGAGAGCCCGAGTCAACCCCCAAGCAGGATTTTTATTTGCACTCATTTCGATTGCGAGCGGCTCGCCGTACCGCTGAGCCAGCCGGCGGGCAATTCTTGATTAGCCGGAGTGATGGGGGGCAAGAGTGGAGAAGACGAAATGAAAACACGGATAATACAAAACCAATCTAAATAAGTATTTTTGGTCCGGGCGGTGGTGGTAGGCCCTCATCCAGCAGTAAATCGAGAACACAGGATGCACATGCACAACAACAGCAGCTGTAAGGCTGTGACAGTTGTAACGTAACCCCAAATGATAATAACACGATAATAGTAGTGGTTACAAACACACCGACACAATAACAACACACTTGCATAACCAACACAGCCATAGGGTTGTGATGGCTATGCACGTGGCCTGTAATCCAGGCACTGAGGGTTGGTCGATCGTACAAATGTTGTGATACTCCCTTCCCGTGGGCGTCGAGGATGTGTGCCTACCCCTGACTCACCAGTAGAATGCAGTAGAGCATAAATGTGGACTCCACCTGTTCCGTCCGTATGGTACCAGAGTGTTTACCCCTTCGCACGCATGGCGTCCTTCTCCATGTGCTGCTGTTTCCGCCCACGTGTAAACACTCATTAACTAGCGAATAAATGCCTGAGTACCTCTGGAGGGTGGCAGAGCTTGGAAAATCAGTTGGGGCCGGCTGATGGCGTGGCTGCCTCTTTCCCCCCTCGCATGGCCTGAGGTGGATTTGACCGTGGCCGACGCCAGTGAATTGAAAGCCGTTGTCATTTGTGTGTTAACCGCGGGGGAGCAGGCGGGGCGTGCGGTGAGCGTGGGTGGCTTCGTGGCACACCTGGTTGGGCAGCTCGCCACGCCGGTGCCTGGCGCGCTCGCGGCGCTGAGGGGAGTGCGCGAGCGCGGTGTCAAGACGGCGCTGCTCACCAACAACTTCTACGTCCGCGGCGGTGCCACTTACCTGCCGCTGGACCGCACCCTCTTCGACGTGGTCAGCACGGCGCCTCCCAACATGCCGCTGCCGGTTATTGCAGATGTATTCGCTCGGCTCCTCCTAAAGTCGTCTGCCCTGCTGGCTTATGTTTGACACGAATGCAAAAATGCATGGATTTGTTTTACTTTATGCTCGTAATTAAAACAAACGAGATTGTGCAGATGCGACAGTAAAGAGGGGTGCGTTCAATGGGCAGAGCGCTCCATAGTGCTTTTCTGTTGAACGACCTGGACAGGAGCCCAGCCAGCAGCCAGCAGGATCCCAAGGCGTAGATTATTTTCAACAGCAGTGTGACAATTTAAGATATGGCCACTTTACATTTGGTCTCATCGTGGGATAGGTGGTGGAGTCGTGCGTGGTCGGGATGAAGAAGCCGGACCCCAGGATCTACTCGCTCTGCCTGGAAAAGCTCGGGGTTCCTCCAAGCGCCGCTGTCTTTCTCGACGACCTCGGAGAAAACCTGGCACCGGCTCGGGCCCTGGGTCTTCGCACCATCAAGGTGTGATCCTCCCCCCACGGCCACTGCATGCACCAAGAACGACGACACTCACGATGAAATACAACACAACTTAGCCACGACGGAAAAGTTCTGCCGCGTAGGCGTTCCCAGTCGTGTCGTGCGGCTCTCCGATGGTGGCCTCGTGCCGTGTCACGGCCAGCGTCGGAAGGGCTACGCCTGATAAGCGCGGCAACGAGGCGTGGTGGAACACGCGTCGGGTGTAACATTGAGACACGGAAGGAGGAGCAATGTGCGTTCGGGGCACAAAGGCACAGGTTGGAGACATCACTTTGACTGCTGAGAAAAGCAAGTCGGCCTGGGGTAGAGCACGTCACTGAATGGGGTGAAAAAGAGTTATATGTCTCAGTGGGCCTTACTTGGTAAAATATAAATTGTTCCGATGGTTTATTTTAGATCTGATGAGAATGCGTGCGCTCTCCGAATGATACCAATTGGGAGGATTTTGTCTCCCTTGCAGGTGGGGGACCTCAAGGTGGCACTGGCAGAGTTGGAGTCCCTGCTGGGCTTCTCGCTGTCCCACGACACCAGCGCCGTGCGCGCCGGCCTGGAGATTGACGAGCGGGCGCTGGCTGCCTACCTGCACACGGCACTGGGGCTGCACGCAGGTGAGCGGGAAATAATAATACCGTATACAAATGATGCTTACGCTTTCATTTTGTTTTATTGACACGTCCGACGCTCAGTAATATTCAAACAGGTCGCAACGCGTCCTCATGCACAGAGCTCATGTTTGGGGTTTTTACAGGGTTGGCTGTTCCTTTGTTAAAATAATCTGTTACATGTCCAATATCTCCCTATTTCCAGTGGTTTTCTCCCATGCGTGCGTGCGTCGCGCTCTTTCTGCACAGCGACGGCTTGAGACGCTACATCCACGTCATGTTGTTACTGAGTCTATGGGCAGTTTTAGGTGACTAAAACCAGCAGGGCCAATCATCTCCTTCCAGGTGTCACCTTCACATTACGTCAGGGCCACATGGGTGTAGCTCACTTCTTTATGACCCTTGAGCTACACCAATTTCGATCCTTTTAAAACAGTCTGCCTCAGCAGCAGACCATGCTTTCCCACCTGATGATGGACGCTTGTGTTGCGCCCGAAACGCCACGATTTATTTTATTTACCGAAAGAACCAAAGAGTATGATTCTGATGTTCTGAATGAGTGACCATAACAGTGGGCACGTTGGGGTCACGAAAGTGCAGGGGAGGGACGGGAAGAAGTGGAGGGACGATAGGGGAGGAAGGAGGACGAGAATGGGCAATGGAGAAGAGGTGAGGCTCTGAGAGAGGAACGATAAGGAGGTTAAGGAGGGGGCCTTAATTTACAGGGGTAGTGTGATTCTATGGGCAGTGCTGAGTCTGGGCAGTGCTGAGTGTATGGGCAGTTTTAAGTGTATGGGCAGTGCTGAGTCTATGGTCTGTGTCGAGTCGATGATGTGTGTTGCACCTCAACAGACACCCTACTCGTGCGTCAGTTCCGGCACGGCCAGTCCAACCCAACATACTACGTGGAGTGCGGCGACCGCAAGCTCGTCCTGCGCAAGAAGCCGCCGGGAAAGCTGCTGCCATTGGCACACGCCGTGGAGAGGGAGTACAGGTGCAGCTAATCGGTGCCACGTGGAGGTCCGGATTCTGGAACGATCCGAGAAAAGTTATTATTCTAGTCGGGAAAAAATGCAAACTACTGCTGCTAAACTAAGCAATTTTTATTTCATTTTACCAGGTAAATCCCACTGAGCTAATTAGCTCTTTTTGAGAAGCGACCCAGCCACCACATGTGATGGTAGCTAAATGAAGTGGCTTACCACGTTTAAATTTATAGTAACCAAATAATCATAAACGCACGTTGATTCTAAATGTGCAAGGAAAAAACGGAGGACCCGGAGAAAAATCCACGCAATCTCCAAATATACGGGTGTCAGGGTCGGCATCGAAACCACAATCTCCTGTATGCCAGGAGAGTGACAGTGAGGGAAAAAAGTATTTGATCCCCTGCTGATTTTGTACGTTTGCCCACTGACAAAGAAATGATCAGTCTATAATTTTAATGGTAGGTTTATTTGAACAGTGAGAGACATAATAACAACAACAAAATCCAGAAAAACGCATGTCAAAAATTTTATAAATTGATTTGCATTTTAATGAGGGTAATAAGTATTTGACCCCCTCTCAATCAAAAAGATTTCTGGCTCCCAGGTGTCTTTTATACAGGTAACGAGCTGAGATTAGGAGCACACTCTTAAAGGGAGTGCTCCTAATCTCAGCTTGTTACCTGTATAAAAGACACCTGTTCACAGAAGCAATCAATCAATCAGATTCCAAACTCTCCACCATGGCCAAGACCAAAGAGCTCTTCAAGGATGTCAGGGACAAGATTGTCGACCTACACAAGGCTGGAATTGGCTACAAGACCATATCCAAGCAGCTGGGTCAGAAGGTGACAACAGTTGGTGCGATTATTCGCAAATGGAACAAACACAAAAGAACTGTCAATCTCCCTCGGCCTGGGGCTCCATGCAAGATCTCACCTCGTGGAGTTGCAATGATCATGAGAACGGTGAGGAATCAGCCCAGAACTACACAGGATAATCTTGTCAATGATCTCAAGGCAGCTGGGACCATAGTCACCAAGAAAACAGTTGGTAACACACTACGCCGTGAAGGACTGAAATCCTGCAGCGCCCGCAAGGTCCCCCTGCTCAAGAAAGCACATATACATGCCCGTCTGAAGTTTGCCAATGAACATCTGAATGATTCAGAAGACAACTGGGTGAAAGTGTTGTGGTCAGATGAGACCAAAATGGAGCTCTTTGACATCAACTCAACTCGCCGTGTTTGGAGGAGGAGGAATGCTGCCTATGACCCCAAGAACACCATCCCCACCGTCAAACATGGAAGTGGAAACATTATGCTTTGGGGGTGTTTTTCTGCTAAGGGGACAGGACAACTTCACCGCATCAAAGGGACGATGGACAGGGCCATGTACCGTCAAACCTTGGGTGAGAACCTCCTTCCCTCAGCCAGGGCATTGAAAATGGGTCGTGGATGGGTATTCCAGCATGACAATGACCCAAAACACACGGCCAAAGCAACAAAGGAGTGGCTCAAGAAGAAGCACATGAAGGTCCTGGAGTGGCCTAGCCAGTCTCCAGACCTTAATCCCATAGCAAATCTGTGGAGGGAGCTGAAGGTTCGAGTTGCCACACGTCAGCCTCGAAACCTTAATGACTTGGAGAAGATCTGCGAAGAGGAGTGGGACAAAATCCCTCCTGAGATGTGTGCAAACCTTGTGGCCAACTACAAGAAACGTCTGACCTCTGTGATTGCCAACAAGGGTTTTGCCACCAAGTACTAAGTCATGTTTTGCAGAGGGGTCAAATACTTATTTTCCTCATTAAAATGCAATTCAATTTATAACATTTTTGACATGCGTTTTTCTGTATTTTTTGTTGTTATTCTGTCTCTCACTGTTCAAATAAACCTACCATTAAAATTATAGACTGATCATTTCTTTGTCAGTGGGCAAACGTACAAAATCAGCAGGGGATCAAATACTTTTTTTCCCTCACTGTAGCTAACATCTTGCCACCATGGTACACCAATTCAAGTGTGGATGGCAAGATGGGGGAGCAGTGGCTGCTATCCTGGTCCCTGTATTCACATTAATAATGGTATTAATGCCGCATGAATGCATTTATGTTGCACTTGCTCGGTGGATAATTGTTTTGGAGTTGGTCAGCTGATGGAGGTGTGGGGGATGGATGCGTTTCAGTTATTTCTTGGTACATTCTTTAAAGGCATGGAGTGGTGGCATCGTGATTGTATTAACCCGAGTTCAATTACCGCCCCACGACTAACATCAATGTCGAGTGATATATGGACTTGGCTTGGTCCCTCCCGTAGGTTGACTGCCTTAAATTAGTTCCTTTGTGTGGGGTATGTAAACATCAGCGCTGGGGCGACAAATGCAGCCCGGCATGATGTGGGCCACACTGCCATCTCCCCGAGTACCTTTATCAGCACTTGCTGCAATCGTCTGTGTAGGCTACACTGGAGATCTTTTGTCTCTGTTGTGTGCGTCTGTGCTCCGTGCAGGGTGATGAAGGCTCTGGGAGCGGCAGGAGTCCCCGTACCACAAGTTCTCTCCCTGTGCGAGGACTCCAGGTGAGTCAAGATCCCACGCGCCAACACCTTCGTATGCGCAAACATACACACACACCATACTATACTCGCCCGCACACACTTAACCTGCAAGGCGGGTAGCGTGCACCGATTTAAAATTTGCTGCAGGCGCATTGGTACGTTGGACATTGGGACGCGTCATGCACGAGACGACAAATGACAGAATCTTCATTCGAATCACGGTGCCTGATTGTGACACGGTGCCTGATTGTGACACGTCAACGAGTTTCGAGGAGATGTGAACTGTTACAAATCAAGCTGTGAGGATAGCGCCACGGAGGGCCCGTGCCGGCGCTCAGCTGGTTGGACGCAGCACTTTTCAGTTTGAGACACAAACGTCGCTAAACGATCGAGACTTGAAGACAACTTCGCAGACAACTCGAGTCTCGATAGGCAATCGTCGTCCTTCAGACACCAAGACGCAAGAGAAACCAACGTGGGAAACAAACACTGCCACTCATGCGTTGGTCAACACAAAGACAAAGATCCGCCCGTATAGCCTGTCACAGACTGTTGGGGCAAGTGTTGTTAGCGAGCAGCGCCTATGAATGGTCGGCATGCGGAGAGCAAGAGGGAGTCCATCTCATCCCAAGCTGAAGCAAGAAGCCGCCGAAGACCCTGGACCCCAAGCCGCCGATGCCCGTCGACGGGCCGGGACTGAGTGGGGTGCCGATGGTGGGTTAGCCTTCCCTAGGCTGAGGAGCCCAAGGGCTTAAGTAGGGAGCGGGGTTAGAATAGCCCGGAGGCTGTACCTCCCTAGGTTGTGGTAAAGGGGCCATTCCCCAGTGTGTCAAGATGTCTAGGTGTTGGCTAGCGATCGGCGACTGTTGTTGTCTGGGGAGTGGTGGCCTAACAATTGGAGCCCTATCACAGGTCGTTGCCCCCATGTGCGATTGCAGGAATGTGCACACACAATCTGTGCACGGTGACGAATGGAGCGCCGCGGTGGTGAGATGTTAACTCTCTCACCTTTTTTTGCAGGATGTCGTGGGTTCCATCCCAACCCTGACACCTGTATATTTGGAGTTTGCATGATCTTCCAGTAGTCGCGTGGATTTTTCTCCGAGTCCTCCAGCTTTTCCCTCCACATTTAGAATGAACATGCGTGTAAAGTATTGGGCTGCTATAAATTTCCACGTGATAAGCCACTTCGTTGGGCTATCATTTGTGGCCAGGTCGCTTCTGAGAAAAGAGCTGTACAGCTCAGTGGGACTTACCTGGTGAAATAGAAAATGGTTTTAGTTTCATTCGCTTCACCAGATGCCATTGAATGGCTTCTCCGAAGCCAATGCGTGGGTATCGGGCTCGGTCTGTTGCTGTCCAAACGTCGTCGACGAACGTTGCCATCCGCCGTTGCTGCCCTGTTCTCGCAGCGTGCTGGGGACGCCCTTCTTCCTGATGGAGTACACCGAGGGGCGCATCTTCAAAGACCTGTCGTTGCCGGATCTGTCTCCAGAGCAGCGCCACAAGGTGTATTCCGGGGTCACCTCCGTGCTCAGCCAAATCCACCAGGTGGATCCCAGCTCCGTGGGGCTCACCGACTTCGGCAAAACCGGTGGGTTCCCCGCGTTGCCACTGCTCCCATTGCAAGTCGTCCCTGGAGAGTTTGGTCGGACATCCCAATGTATGGATGTCGTTGTTGTTGTTTGTCAGCCTGTAGCATCCCATTTCATGGGCAAAGGCCTCGGTCATCGTATCACATTCCTTCCCTTACTCGGTTGTTCTTCTCCGAGCTCTGTGATTTTGTCTCATTGCTGCCATCTATCTCCACGCCACGGTTAATTTTCGTCGCGTCTCTCATTATTTGTTGTCAAGGCGTGGCCTGCCGAATGTATAGCATGGCCCCCTCCACCCACCCCGCGAGTTTTCGAGGCTCAGTAAGGCCTTTCCTGCGTGCATAAGTGCCGTCACATTTATTCACGCAATCACTGACGCTCTCGTCCAGCAGTGAGATTCGAGAAAAAAAACAGGCCTTACACGTACTACAATAAGTAGCCAGTTTAACACGTAGTAGGCTTTCGCAATCAATATTATCCACAGATGAGGAAGGAGAGTATGACGTTTCGCCGGTAATTACAACCAGCCTCATCAGGCGATAGCCAGAGTTGTGAAACTGGCGAAACATCGTACTCGAATGGTAAATGTTGTGGGTTTACTCTCCAACACACCGGTGTGCTGAACTCGAATTGGCATGTTTTGTTTACGTGACAAACCGTACAAGCCTACGTATTAACTTACTAATTGGCTGTGTCGGGTGGTGGCGGGTTTAACAGCACATTTATATTTACGCGATCGAACCCGACCACCTCTATTATGAATAAGTAGCCAACCGGCAAACAAAAACGCATCTCTGGCAGGAGGATACGTGAGGCGGCACGTGCAGAAGTGGACAAAGGAGTACCGAGCGAGCGAGACCAAATACCTGCCCTCCATGGAGCTGCTCATGGAGTGGCTGCCGGCTCACCTGCCCCGAGAGGAGGCCAACCGCGTGGTGCACGGTGACTTCAGGTGAGCCCCGCGGTGGGGTGGCGGGTGGTTAGGGATTTCAAAGCGAGCTCCCTCTACACGTGCTCCCCACTTTTGGTGGGGCGGCTTATGCTCTTGGATGCAACTTGATGCTTTTGTTGCTTATCGTTACAAAACGGTCCACTGTGCCAAACACTTTCTTCTCCATTGTGATCTGCAGTGGGATGAGGGATTTTTACCAGATAATGCCCACTGAGCTATACAGCTCTTTTCCAGAAGTGATCCGGCCACAAGTGATAGCTCAACAATGATGGCTTATCATGTGGAAATTTATAGAAGCCGAATACTCTAAACACATGTTTCTAAATGTGCAGGGAAAAACCAGAGGACACGGATAAAAATCAATGCAACTGTATTGGGTTCCGGAGATACTTTGTAGATGCAACTTCTTTATTACAATACACCACTCCAACAGTCCTGATACACTGTTACAGCCTAGGGACACAGCCTACTTCTAGCGTGCCTGACACTGGCTACGCTCTCGGGTCCTCCGCCTACAATTACCCTAGGGGAGGCTACCTGACCCGACCCAGCCAAGGTGCGGGTCTAGCCTCTGGCTTCCTTGGACCTCGCCCTTACAAGAGCGTAGAGCCGGGAGTCCCAGAGTCCCACCACTGGCCCGCACAGCGTCCCGGCCCTTACAAGGACAAGCGGGGCGAGGGGGTCCAGGGTCCTAAGCTGGCTGGTCTTGGGTCTTCAGCTGCAACTGGTCCCGATCGGCTGGGGAGGTCCGCTTTTATGCCCATTTGCCCATCGAGGGGTGGTGTTGCGTGGGATCGTAGATCCTCCGCAGCCCCCCCGTTGGTGGCGCCCAGGGGATTAGTTGTCTGGGGTCCCCATCGAGGGGTGGCGTTGCGTGGGATCGTAGATCCCCCGCAGCCCCCCCCCCCCCCGTTGGTGGCGCCGAGGGGATTAGCTGTCTGGGGTCCGGAGCCCCTAGCAGCCCCTCCCCTCTTGGGCTGGTGCGGGAGCCCCTTGCCTGTCGGATCGGGATACCCTTGCAGATGGACCTCGTCTACCACTGCCAGTAAGCTTGGCCCATCTACGGCACTACACAACCACAGGGAGCACATGCAAACTTCAAATATACAGCAGGCATCAGGGTCGGGATCGAACCCACGACCTCATGCATACCAGGCGAGGCGGTTAACTTCGCAGCAGTCAAAGTGGGGTTAGGATGAACGCATGGCCCGTGGTGGTGCATGCCTCTAATCCAGCACTGTATGGGCAGCAACGGTTGGTGGATCACCGCACAAATGACAATGTTGACCCTCTTCCCGCTTGCATCGAGGTGCAATACTCTGGCTCACCAGCAGAATGCAGTACAGCAAAGTGTGGCCTGCTATCATCTGTCCCTTCTGTATGGCACAGTGTTGCCCCCCTCGCATGTGTGAGTTTTCTCCTGGTTCTGTGGTTTCCTGACACACGTATAAACACTTAACTGTCTGAAAAGGCAATTGATACAGAGGGAACTGCGGAGCAATTATTTGGGCTGGCTCACCGCATGGCAGCCTTCCACCTTCATTTGTGATTCCCCAACGGTTGTGAAATTCAATTTGCACGAATGACAAAAGCCGAATAAACATCGATTTTGTTTGTCGATTATGAGTTTCGGTGACAGCACCGTCGTAGGAAAACGATGGTTGCCAGTGGTATGTTGACCGTGACGTCCGACGTTTCGCCCTGCGTGCTGCTGGGAGATTCTCCAGGGACTGAACTTTTGCGCACGCACATACACGCACGACTGACGATTCGCCAGGCTGGACAACCTGGTATTCGACGCAGAGCGGCTGGAGGTGCGAGCCGTGCTCGACTGGGAGATGTCGACGCTGGGCGACCCGCTCTCCGACCTCTCCCACAGCTGCATGGCTCACCATCTGCCTCAAAATTTTCCCATACTGCCTGGTCTGCGCACACAATGACACGCACACGCATGCGCAAAGATACCCCTTCTATAAGCCTTCAACAGAATGATGGAGCTAGTGCTGTTAGCGGGCATCTACGTGTGAAGGCCGGCATGGTACGGCAGGCGAGGGGGAATCGCACACGAATCACAGGCTTGGTTCATAGCGCAGCGCGCTCACCACCGCACGAGCGCTCCCCACGAATGCACATGCATACACAGAGACACGCGTAGTTCTGGGCTGACCGAATCTTGAAATAGTCGATCGCTGCCGACTATCAGTTTGATTCATTCAACTAAAGCAAACGACACGTTTGAACGCTCGGCGTGACCGGCACATCGGGCAACGCAACGCCTCGTCGTCTCGCGTTTTTTTGTGCTCCGGCCTCAGGAGAATGTTCCCGCGTGACGCCTGTAAAGTCGCCACCCACACTCCCCCCCCCTCCTCGTCTGCGTGCGCGTGCTACTGCGAGTCAACTCTCTCCAACGCCACCTTCCGCAGGGCTGAAGGGCCGCGACCTCATGGCACTGGGCATCCCGAGCGACGAGGAGATGATGAAGGCATACTGCGCTGCCTCTGGCCGCCCACTCATCAAAGACTGGCACTTCTACTTGGCCTTCTCATTCTTCCGTGTCGCCGCCATCCTGCAGGGCATCTACAAGCGGGCGCTCTTAGGTGTGCGCCCCACACTCGGCCGTTGCCACCACCTGTTGGTAGGCGTCTGGCCGGCGTGGAAGAGTAGGCCAAATGCGCCGTCGAGATGGGCTCATACCTCGTGTAATGGCGGTGTGACGGTGGCGGTGTGAAAGTGGCGGTGTGAGGGCGGTGTGTAACGGCGGTGTGACGATGATGGCGATGCAGGTCAGGCGTGCTCGGCGCATGCCGAGGAGGCTGGCCAGTTTGTGGAGTTGATGGCTGACAAGGGTTGGGGTTTAGCCGCACGGGAAGGATTCCACATCTTCAAGGAGCAGCCCAAGCCACTCGGCGGTGGCGCGGCAGGGCAATCCGGCCGGCCCTATAGCACCAGCTGCCGCAGCACGGCTGTGAGTCAACCTCCTTGTTTTGTGCGTGTCGGTTCAGCGTAGCTGTGGATTAGATGCCGAACGATTCGCCTTTCCAGCGATCCGATAAATCGTTATCACGATTCCATTCAATAAATCGATAATTTTTTTTTTAGCTCCGTATCTGTCGTTTCGTCTTCATTCGCCTAAATCTAATGGTATCATACGTCGTTAAGATACGAAGACTGCAAATAACTGATTATCTCAAACATGGGTCCCCAATTATATCTTGAGCTCAAGTACCGATCTAAATCGATCACTCCTGTGTGGTTGATTGCCCCCCAAAAAGGTCCACCGCGCGCAAGCACCCAACTGCCCGCAGCATGACCGCCGCTTCTTCGCTACTAGCGCGGGCGAGCCAGCCGCGGCGAGCGGGCGTGGTGGCGGTGGCGGAATGCTGGTGCGAGAGGCGGAGCTGGCCCCGCCGGCCCGCGCGACGGTGGAGGCCGTGCGAGCATTTGTGGGTGAGCGCGTGATCCCCGCGGAGGCGGAGCTGCGGCGTTGGGAGCCGCACCCGCCGCTGGAGCAACTCAAGGTTGGAACCCGACTCATCCCGCACCGGCACAACTGCCTCGGCCGATACCGCCACATCACCGTCGTCGCCACCGCCACTGCCATCGCCGCCGATGCCACTGTCATCATCACCGCCACGACTGATACCGCCGCCACCAATAAGACTGCTACGATGCCGCCACCACTGTCACCATGGCCATCACCACTGTCACCACTGATACCGCCACGTCACCGTCACCACCTGCCATTGTTGCCACTGCCACTATTACCGCCACTATCACCACCGTCAGCCACGATTGACACCACTGCCGATATCACAATTGTCCCTTCCACCGTCACTGCCACTGCCACTATCTTCACCACCGTAACCATCACCACCACTCATTGCTGCCACCGCTACCACCCCTACCATCGATACCACCACCACCACCACTGCCGCTACCACCACAAATGATAAAACCACCACTGCCCAGCTCTGCCACCGCCTCTACTGATAACCGCTGCCACCGCTACCACTGCTGCTACCACTGCCTTCACTGAAACCACATCCACCACCATCTCCACGACAACAATGCCAGCAATGTCGCTAACACCACCTCCGCTGCTGCCACTGACACAACTAACACTGTGTAGGGCACGGCAATTATTTGACCATGCTTCTCCATGCCACGCACGGGCGATGTCTCAGTGTCTGCCAGCTGTGCCAATTTTGCACAGTTTGGAATCAAATGAGAGACTGAACTCGGCCCGCAACTACCCCCCGCGCGGCTCAGACGGAGGTGCGTGGGGCCGGGCTCTGGAACCTGTTCCTGCCTTCCCACCCCTCTCTCTCTTTGAGCGAGCTAGCTAACACTGCACGGCGGTGGTGCAGAGTTCCGAGTTCGAAATCATCAATGCGACGTTGCGTTTCTTGCCGTCATTCTCCGCGCAGGCGTTCAACTGTTCCGCCCCGGACACAGGGAACATGGAGTTGCTCGTGCGCTACGGCACGGACCAGCAGCGCCAACGCTGGCTGGCGCCGCTGCTCGACCACAAAATCTGATCCTGCTTCGCCATGACGGGGCCTCAGGCATGCAGCGCACGCACTCGCGACACGCGTCTACACCCACAAACCTCCATCGTCGTGGTCATCGTCATCGTTGTGGTGTATTTCTTGCTATCGCGCCACACACAAGTATCAGAGAGCTCCCTAAGCACCAACCTAGAGACGAGACACAAGTGGACAGAGCACCGTGCACACGGGCAGCAGCGCACATGAACCTTAACCCTAACCCCATCACCCCCCCACTCCCGCAATCACTCTCCCTTTTTGTAGGTGGCCTCCTCTGATGCCACCAACATCGAGGCATCTATCGTGGAGGCCGGCGACAGATACGTTCTGATTGGCCGCAAGTGGTGGACGTTTGGTGAGCGAGCGCGCGCATGTGGAGTTCTGGGGAGACACGGGGCGCCTGCTTTTTGTGCGAGCCGATTCCACAGTTTAGGGACCGCAGAGTTTTTGACCTACACAAATATAAATAAATAATAAGGTGTCCATACAAATGTAAATTTCTTTAAAGTAGCGAATTAATTTATTAATTGATGCCGATACAGGCATGCATTATCACCGGATCTGAGTACGTGTGCAAAATGTGGAATTTATTGGACAACGGGAAGTGGACGAAATTTTTATTACAAGATTTGACCACGACAAACAGAGGAATCAAGTTAAGTAAAACCGTTGGAAAAAAAAGTTAGAAATTGTAGTTGCATATACGATTACCGTTATTACAATGCAAGTCCAACAACATGAAATGCGTTTAACATTCAATCGGAAACAGATCTCCATTATAAGCAAATAAAACAAACTGCATTAGTCATGATCTCTGACTCGTAACTTAAACAATACAGGAGCGCGTGTCTACATGAGCAGCACTGTTGTCAATCCACGACTGGTAGAGCCACCCCCACCTGCCCCACGTTGTGTCAGTCGTAGGGGTTATTTAGCCATACTTCATCACGTACCCACGCACTGAGTCACCCACTCACCCATCCACATTCAACCGCAAACAACAAAACAAAGATGCCCCATATAGCCTTAACAGACTGTAGGAGCAAGTGCTGTTAGCGAGTAGCGCCTATGAAGGTCGAGGGGGTGGTGCCACAGCAACGGAGCAACTCCACCGGCGCCGCCATCCCCTCGCACCCCTCCACACGAACGCACGCACACCCCCACACACGCACCCACGTATGGTCTCGTGATGGGTTCACCTGGTACCATGGGTTTTTACCCGAGGGGCCCCTAGCGGAGATGTCCCACGGTTTCCCAGTGCCAGGAGATTGGCCGACCCCCCCAGGCCAAATTGCATTGTGGCCTCCGTGAATTTGCTTAAAATTGTATGGGCGTGACAAAGCTCACCGGGCTAACCACAATGAGACACTCACGGCACAGGGAGATAGGGCTTGGAGGGCAAACACTCCACGAGCAGCGCAAAAGAGGAGGTGGGAGGGAAATTCCTGAACCCACTGCAGATGTGTATTCCGTGGGACGGCCACCCCGATCAAACCGGGTGGGGAGGATGGGTGCATAGACAATGGATCGAGGCGTAATGGGAAAGCAACGCTCCAGGTAGGGGCGGGGCATCGGTTTAAAATCGAAAGGTAGGCGCCCGATTGACCGCGCAGGATAACACCATGTGACCCTGGATCTTTGGATTCCGAGGGCATAAAAGGAGGGGGCGGAAAAACGTTAAGCAGTTCTCCTCCAACCGTTCAGCTGCCCGGTCCGACTCCCAGCCACTCGCAGCGTCCGAGAGACGCTGGCGAGTGCTGCTACGACTCATCCCTCCGACTCCCACCGTGTCTGTGCGACACCGTGAGTGCGTCTGCGAGGTGAGAAGTAGAGTGAGGGTACACCCAGGGATTGAATAGGGATAGGCTAGGCGCTGCTCGCAGAATATTTACTCCAGGCCGCACAGGGTTTTCTATAGACGCGCACTTAATAAACTTCAGTTCAGAAGATCGGTGTAGTGTGATTTCTGTGTGTGTGGGTGAACTTCGGCATGGTGTCTATGATTTTTTAGTGGAGCAACTGCATGCGGGGCGGGGTGCGTGAGAGAGCAAGCGCGGGGCTGCAGGGTGTCAGCGCGGGGTTGGTGTGCGAGGTGCGCATCCATTACCATCTATACGACCGTCATTGTTTACGCGGGTTTTCGTGTGTAGAAAACGCACATGCTGTGCCGCGTGAGTGATTAAGGTGGGGGTCGGGGGCTAAATCCACTCCCTGCCGTTTTATCATAGATTACCATCACTACAACCTCGACTGCTCCGTGCTTTACGCAGCACGTTTACACAGTAGAAATAGCAGGTCATCTTATTTTCGTGTAGCATCTGTTTGCACAGTGAATTAAGGCTTATCCACCAGAGGGTAGGTGTGCATATTCATACAGCCGCCGTTTCTTTTCAGTTTACCTTAGGATTGCGGGCACGCGGATTCGAGCTTAGCCACGAGGAGGGGAGAGGGGAGCGTGCATATACATGTGGCTATTTTTAGCGCTAGCCGTGGGGGGCAACGTGCGCCTGCACGGGCACGCGTGTGAACACAGTCACCTCCACAGTGGTGGTGTACGTGGGGAGTGTGTGGGATAACTCCGGGCGGTGGTGAGCCAGCCACTTCGCCTCAGAGAGGGCGCTGGTGCGGGGGGGCCAATCACCCGATCGGTGGGGGCCGGCGAGAAATGGCCGAGGAGGAGGGGGGAGTGGAGGGGGTGGACGTCGCGTCCTGCCCGCTCACGGGGAGCTGGGAGGTGGGCGTCAGCCCCCACACCACTGCTGACAGCTCATCTTAACTAAGTGGCAGTGATGTCACCACACCGCTTGTGCCAGGCTAGGTGTGTCTTGAAGGCATGTGAAGTATGTCGAAGGCTCGCTGGCAGGTCACAGGACAGAGACAATGAGCCTTGGGTTTGCTAATATTCAAAGACATAGATCACCCGTATAGACCTTTTATTTTTATTAAAGACTGCAGGGGCAGGTGCTGATAGCGAGCAACCACGCCCGACCGCCTTTGGTCTTCCTAGTGGCGATGCTTATACACCCGTACGCATTTGAGGCCGAGTCGACCTATAGGAGGGCCATGACCGGTTCAGATCATCGTCACTGGTATTTGGTGGCCGTGAGCAGGAATCCGAATCCGGGTGGTCGAGTTCGAAGCACGGAGCGCAAACCGCTCCCCACACAACACCAACCGATGTTCATCAAACACAAAGTAGTGCTCGTGCCAGGCTAGGTGCACTCTGCGGCCACGTGAAGTGTTGAAGGCCCGCTGGCAGGGGGTCACAGAATAGACTTGGCAGATGCACCAGCTGACACATCCACCAGCTGACACACATCCACCAGCTGACACGTCCATCCACAACACTCACCAAACTCACAGTCACTCAAAACCAACTCACACTCCACCCACAAGTCACTCAACCCGCTCAGACTCCTTCACACTCACCCGTTGCAGGTGGAGAAGGCGCGCGTTCCCAGTGGTCCGGCAACCTGTCAAAGAATAAGACGAGGTACTTAATTGTTGTCTTTGACCAAAATAGTTCGAGAGCCGCATCACTCACAGTACTACTTGCACACAAACACAGCAGGTATACGGCGGATTACAAATTAATTATCCACCAGAGGGTAGGTGTGCATATTCATACAGCCGCCGTTTCTTTTCAGTTTACCTTAGGATTGCGGGCACGCGGATTCGAGCTTAGCCACGAGGAGGGGAGAGGGGAGCGTGCATATACATGTGGCTATTTTTAGCGCTAGCCGTGGGGGGCAACGTGCGCCTGCACGGGCACGCGTGTGAACACAGTCACCTCCACAGTGGTGGTGTACGTGGGGAGTGTGTGGGATAACTCCGGGCGGTGGTGAGCCAGCCACTTCGCCATGTCCCTCAGAGAGGGCGCTGGTGCGGGGGGGCCAATCACCCGATCGGTGGGGGCCGGCGAGAAATGGCCGAGGAGGAGGGGGGAGTGGAGGGGGTGGACGTCGCGTCCTGCCCGCTCACGGGGAGCTGGGAGGTGGGCGTCAGCCCCCACACCACTGCTGACAACTCATCTTAACTAAGTGGCAGTGATGTCACCACACCGCTTGTGCCAGGCTAGGTGTGTCTTGAAGGCATATGAAGTATGTTGAAGGCTCGCTGGCAGGTCACAGGACAGAGACAATGAGCCTTGGGTTTGCTAATATTCAAAGACATGGATCACCCGTATAGACCTTTTATTTTTATTAAAGACTGCAGGGGCAGGTGCTGATAGCGAGCAACCACGCCCGACCGCCTTTGTCTGGTCTTCCTAGTGGCGATGCTTATACACCCGTACGCATTTGAGGCCGAGTCGACCTATAGGAGGGCCATGACCGGTTCAGATCATCGTCACTGGTATTTGGTGGCCGTGAGCAGGAATCCGAATCCGGGTGGTCGAGTTCGAAGCACGGAGCACAAACCGCTCCCCACACAACACCAACCGATGTTCATCAAACACAAAGTAGCGCTCGTGCCAGGCTAGTTGCACTCTGCGGCCACGTGAAGTTTTGAAGGCCCGCTGGCAGGGGGTCACAGAATAGACTTGGCAGATGCACCAGCTGACACATCCACCAGCTGACACACATCCACCAGCTGACACGTCCATCCACAACACTCACCAAACTCACAGTCACTCAAAACCAACTCACACTCCACCCACAAGTCACTCAACCCGCTCAGACTCCTTCACACTCACCCGTTGCAGGTGGAGAAGGCGCGCGTTCCCAGTGGTCCGGCAACCTGTCAAAGAATAAGACGAGGTACTTAATTGTTGTCTTTGACCAAAATAGTTCGAGAGCCGCATCACTCACAGTACTACTTGCACACAAACACAGCAGGTATACGGCGGATTACAAATTAATTCTGACAGTCAGATACTACTACACTCAGTAGCTACTAGAGTCATTAGATACTACTATAAAGTGAGTAGATACTGCTATAGTTAGTAGTTACTAATATAGTCAGTGGATACTACTATAGAGTCAGCAGATACTACTATACAGTTAGTCGTTACTATTATTGAGCCGGTAAATACTATTGTAAAAAAAAATTAGCCGGGTACCACGCCATAAGCCCCGTACATGGCATAGGCTATTCCTTTTCCACGTCCGTCACCTTTAAATTAGTTAAAATAGCGTTTTTATGCGATTTACATTTATTTATTTCCCTGCTCCACTCATGCTGCACAGGGATGCCCCTGGCAACACACCCGTCATCGGTGGAGGGTGGGGGGGATTTCTCCTTCGCGTTCATAATGCAAATTCATCAAAGTGTCATATCCCCCCCCCCACCCCAATGTGTGCACTTACTACTATAGGGTCGGTAGATACTAATATTATAGTGCTTAGTATTATTGTAGCTCAGGCGGGGGGTTGGTGGGGGAGGGGGTAGCGGCCCAGCCCCCAGCCTGGCAATGTGTCACCTCCTCCGGCTGGGCAATCTAGGAAAGGCCGCGGGCTCTGAACGGGACTAGGCCTCACCACGGCGATGTAAAGTACAATTTTATTGAATCGTTCGCTAAGAACTCAGGTTCATTGTTTCCTATTATGAAACAAATAAGTTGACGGATATTACAATAATAATTTTGTGTGCAGATAATAACTCTGGTTCATTGTTTACTATTATGAAACTAATAAGTTGGCAGATATTACACTAATAATGTTTGTGTGCAGATAACTCTGGTTCATTGTTTACTATTATGAAACTAATAAGTTGGCAAATATTACACTAATAATGTTTGTGTGCAGAAAACTAATATTTCACTAGTAGGTTGCTAAATATTTTCTTTTTTAGGTGTGTTTATATGACGCTGCGACGGTGTACTGCCAGTCTGTGCTGTTGGCTGCTGCCTGCTCATTAACGTCAGTGCACTGGCACTCTATTACCTACACTGCTAATTTACCTTTTGCCCATTATGAGTGTATGCCAGTCTATAATCTGTTGCCTGCTTCTTTACCTCACACAGTGTGCTGTCAGCCTTTCATGTCAACTGTTTCCTGCTTTTTCAGCTGCCGACCTTATTCCCAGCTTTTTATGTTGACTGTAGAAATGCTTATGTCATTGAGTCGGCGTACTGGCAGTCTATAATATAGATTGTAGCCTGCTTCTCAACTTACCTGTGGGTACTGCTGCTCTTTAATGTACACTTGTTTCAGCTTATTTCTTCAATGCATTTCCATTGTTTCGATTGCTCATATCATGCTATTTACTGATACGTAATACTGCTATGCTGATTAATATGTTATACTGCTAAATACTTTGGACTTTCTTAGCTACAGCCCATGGCATTTTGTCTATCATTTTGTTACATTCGTGGGAACATCACCCATTTATATTTTGCCATACCGCACCTTTACTTTCCACCAAAGCGGGGAGCACACAGGGAGGTTCAATGCCCCAAATAGTGTTGACCTTGCTTTTTTACGGTGGGTGAGGAACATTGTGAGAGAGACATTGTTCTTCCAAACCAAGAAAAAAAACATTGCACGATTTCCTGAC